ATATCGAACTATTTGGATCCGCACGCATAAGTTGAAAGGTCAATGTCAAAGTACGTAGGTACATACATAAATCATTTGACTAAAGTAGCTATCGCAGACCACAAACAGTGTGCTTAGTGCGAGTTTTTTAACATTCCCGATAGCGTAAAAGTTAACTCAAAATTGTATGGAGTTGGAACGTTTGTCTACATTTGCCACTAGAGGCGCTGTTCCAACTGCATACAAATTTGAGTTAACTTTTACACATTGTTTGTTGTGTACGAAACTATTCGACGCTATATAATTATCAATTTAATACACTTTTCTTATATTGAAAACACTACCGGTCGTACAATTTATTGTTAATCGACTTTATTAGAGTAATAAAAATCTCAACTTAAACCTTAAACCTAAACAGAACTAAACTCTAACACAGCTTCAAAACTAAGACTGTATATTTTTTGTTATCGTAAAAATTTTTCATTTCATTCTAACTAATTTTATTTCTTCAACTAATTTTATTCTAATTAGCTTCTAGTGGTCATCGACAATTTACAAATAAATTAACTCGAAGATAAATTTCGTTCGGGATGGATAACGCTTTCCATAGTTATGTGTTTTAAGCTTGCAAATTATTTTTTATCTCCTTAACTATGAAATGTGAGTCCGGATTTTTTGTGATCTCTATGGCTTCGACACCATTTACCTAACGACACACGAGGGCATAAAATAAATATGTTAAGTATCACTACATAGCATAAAACAAAGTCGCTTTCTGTGTCCCTATATCTGTCTGTCCCTATGTATGCCTAAATCTTTAAAACTACGCAACGGATTTTGATCGTTTTTTTAATAAATAGAATGATTGAAGAGGAAGGTTTATATGTACAATAACATCCATTAAATAGTGAAGAAATCACTACTAAATTACAGTTTCCGAAGCGAAGCGAGGGCGGGTCGCTAATTATAAATAAAAGCGAAAACGTGGTAAGACAGTATATTATTGTTTATTCACATTCGCACGTCCGAGATCAAACGTCAAGCCATCCCGACCGGAGCCCTCTTCTTCGATATCGCGAAGGCGTTCGACAAAGTCTGGCACAATGGTTTGATATACAAACTGTACAACATGGGAGCGCCAGACAGACTCGTGCTCATCATACGAGACTTCTTGTCGAACCGTTCGTTCCGATATCGAGTTGAGGGAGCTCACTCTCGCCCTCGTCAAGAAACAGTCCCGCAAGGATCCGCACTCTCCCCGTTACTGCTTAGTTTGTATATCAACAATATACCCCGGTCTCCGTAGATCCATCTAGCCCTCTTCTCCGATGACACGGCTATCTACTACTCATGTAGAAAGAAGTCGTTGTTGCATCGGCGACTCCAGACTAGAGCAACCACCATGGGACAGTGCTTCCGGAAGTGGCGCATCGACATCAACCCCACGGAGAGCACAGCGGTGTTCTTCAAAAGGGGCTGCCCTTCGAATACCACTTTGAGCATCCCACTCCCGAATAGGCGTGTAAACACCTCCGCCATTCGCCTCATCATGATGTACGACCAACCCATACCGTCGGTCCCGAAGGTCAAATACTTAGGCGTCACCCTCGACAAAGGAATGACATTCCGCTCCCACATAAATACGGTACGCGACCGTGCCGCCTTCATACTAGGACGCCTCTATCCGATGATTTGCAAGCGAAGTAAATTGTCCCTTAGAAATAAGGTGACACTCTACAAAACTTGCATACGCCCCGTCATGACCTATCCAAGTGTAGTGTTCGCTCACGCGGCCCTTCAAATCATTCAATCCTGTTTTTACAGGATAACCGTCTGAGCCCCGTGGGTCATTAGACACGTAGATCTCCACGACGACCTGGACCTAGAGTCCATCAGTAAGTGTCTACAATCGGCATCAGTGCACCATTTCGACAAAGCGGCACGACACGAGAACCCTCTCATCGTGGCTGCCGGTAACTACATTCCCGATCCTGCGGACCAATGGTAATCGACGTCACCTAAAACACGTCATTTCGGATCCTCCCGATCTAATAACGGTGCTTTTAGGTACCACAATTTTCGTCAAACCCGTCGCTTGCGATGAAGGGCTCGTCGAGTAAATTAACCCACACCCAAATTAACACACAGCCCACTGAGCTTCTCAGTGGGTCGCGTTTCCGATCCGGTGGTAGATTCTGCGAAGCACTGCTCTTGCTAGGGTTAGTGTTATCAAAGTCGTCAGGCTTGAGCTCCGTGAGCTCACCTACTTATTAGGGTTATGCTGAAATGGCCTCTCAAAGTCATTAGTCATAATATCAATTTGTGTCCATACCCCACTCCCAGCGGTGCATATTTTCTTCAGTGTTTTAATATTTTGTCAGAACATTTTGTTTAAAATATTGTGTTTACCTCAACCTTGACTCATAGACTATTTTAAGGTCTTTTTTTATTAATTATAATATAATTATTGAGTTCTAATTAAAATTGAAAAGTTTATTTAATGTCAATGTAACGCCATCTCTCGCGTACGATGCTAACTACGCGTAAATCGCATTAACGCTACCTTTCTCGAAATGATTTCATTTCTCCTTTTACGTTGTGTTCATAGATGTCGCTACCCATTCTCCAGTTCAGAGATAGATGGCGCTAAGTGTAACAAATTGTAAACAATAACTCTCAATAAATGAAAACATTTTTGTAAATAATTATTCTTATTCCAACATAGTTGGAACCACATCTTAATCATAACAATACTTGTTAGTATTCGCTAAAATACCACAAAGACCTCAAAATACTGCCGCAATCGAAATTTCAATATGAGAGTGGAACGTCATCTATTTTTTTTTGGCAGGTGGACGAGCTCCCGACCCACCTGGTGTTAAGTGGTTACCGGAGCCCATAGACATTAACAACGTAAATGCCACCACCCATCTTGAGATATGAGTTCTAAGGTCTCAGTTTTTACAGTACAACGGCTGCCCCACCCTGCAAACCGAAACGCATTACTGCTGCACGGCAGAAATAAGCAGGGTGTACGTACCTACCCGTACGGACTCACAAGACGTCCTACCACCAGTAATTACGCAAATTGTAATTTTGCGGGTTTCATTTTTATTACACGATGTTATTCCTTCACCGTGGAAGTCAATCATGAATATTTTTTATGTACGTATTTCATTACAAAAATTGGTACTTGCTAGCGGGATTTGAACACCGTCGCATCCCTAAATACGAATACACCCGACGTCTTATCCTTTAGGCCACAACGATGTTAAGCAGTAAGACATTTTAGATTTTCCTTTAACCTAAACATTTTTCCTAAAAATTAACGACTTTAAAAAATAAAATAAATTTATTTTATTTCTCATTTTATTTGGCGATGCAATTGAAGAAAAAAAAAGCGCACCAAAAGCATCGAAAAGATTACGAACAAACAAATACACAGACATTTTGACGATGATTTAAGAAGATAACTAAAATCTTAGTTTCGTACCGTACTGACTTCGTTTGCAACAGTTCTTCATGTTGGTCATATTAAACTCGAGATGGGTAGTACTCGGTAAATCAGATACTAGGTCCACCTGTTTCTAATCTTAAGAAATACGTAATACAAATACCATTCACATGCAATACTTTACTTAGCAAGCAATCTCAATCTGCCTTTTTTTATTGCTTAGGTGGATCGACGACACAGCCCACCTGGTGTTAAGTGGTTGCTGGAGCGCATAGATATCCATAACGTAAATGCGCCACCCACCTTGAGATATAAGTTCTAAGGTCTCAATTATAGTTACTCATCACACAGTTCCGATTGCATCGCCAGTCAGTCCGGTGTCGCTGCCGTCGCGAACATGTGTCTCGAGTTGTCCAACATTGTCGTTGTCGCACCGATCGCGGCATTGTTGTGCATTCTTGACGCGCTGTCGCTGGCGTCGCGACCTTGAGTTGTGAAAACAGTTTGAACTTGAGTTGTGCATTCGAAACGCCAACTTCACTATCATTTCACTCATACCATATTATTAAATTTATTTATATTATTCGGCGAGCAAAACAGTCTTTTTAAAGACTGAACCCCCACTGCGATCACCGCTTGTTGTGGCACTCACAACCCAGTGGGGCCCCCACCTTCCCAACTCCACCCCAATCCCAGCTGACTGCCGTTCTCACGGCAAAGGCACTCCCCCCCTTGTTGCTGGTAAAGCACAGGGGGTGAACTCCTACTCAGGGGACTCGCCTTTCGGCGAGTGTGCCTTAAGTCCCGGGGACGCCCCCCCTGGGCACAACCACCATGGCGGACGATGACCCCGCCATGTTCATCCTTTTCGTCCGGGAGTTTTGCCCGGACATTATGACGCAATTTAGGGCTCATAAAGCCAAACTAGCATCGAAGTCCCTCGCACCGTTCGCCGCCGCCGCGACTATTCCTGACTCGCCGATGTCGCCCCCCACCCCCGCGCCCGCGTCGATCGCGTCATGCGCGGCATCGAGCTCCGGCTCCGACTCCGAGTCGGAGATGGAGTTCGAGTCGGCCGCCAGCCCCGAACCCGGAACCTCCGATGGGTTCAAAACCGTCACGCGCGGAAAGAAACGCGCCCGCGCCGTGGAACCGTCCGCGGCGCCGAAACAACCCAAGGCCGCGAACGCGTCGCGGCCTAAAGTCGTGGTCTAACCCGACTCCCCTCGCCGCGCAACCCCGTCGCCGCGACCCCAACCCGCGTCCGTCCGCAAAATTCCCGCGCCGCCGCCGGTAATTTTACAAGATAAGACCGCGTGGGATCGCGTATCCCGTGCCTGTAAGGCACAAAACGTCAACGTCGTCCATGCGCGTAACATCGCGCACGGCATACAGATTAAGACGGCCTCACCGGACGATCACAGGGCGCTGACAGCCCACCTCCGAAGGGAGCGCATAAGCTTCCACACTTATGCGCTCCAGGAGGATCGCGAGCTCCGCGTAGTAATACGCGGAGTACCGAAGGAGCTCGACGTCGAGCTGGTCAAGGAGGACCTCATCGGGCAGGCGTACCCGATTATAAGCGTGCACCGAATGCACAGCGGGCGCGACAAATTCGCGTATAATATGGTTCTCGTCGCGTTGGAACCAACCGCCGAAGGCAAACGAATTGCCTCAAGCCTCCGCACCGTTTACGGCTTATCCGGGGTCACCGTCGAGGCCCCATATAGAAAAGGCACTCCCGGGCTGTGCCACCGCTGTCAGCTTTACGGCCACTCCGCGCGCAACTGCCACGCGCGTCCGCGGTGCGTAAAGTGCCTCGGTGACCACGCGACAGCCGACTGTTCGCGGGTCAAAGAGACCGCGACCGAACCACCGAGCTGTGTGCTCTGCCAGAAGCAGGGCCACACAGCCAACTACCGCGGATGCCCTAAGGCCCCGCGGAAGCGTCTGGCCAACGCGCCAGCAAAAACCGTCGGCCCAAAGACTTCGGCGCCCCGCGCGCCGAAACCTGCCTTCGTGCCGGCACCGGTGCCCACCGTCTCCGCGTGGGCAAAACCGCTGCCGCTCACGTTGGCAGGGAAACCACCGGCACCCCAGCCCCTGCTCGCGCCGCGCCCCGCCCTCGCGCCCGGTCCCGCGCCTCGCCCCGGCCCCGCGCGCCCNCCACCTTCCAAACTCCACCCCAATCCCCAGCCAACTGCCGTTTTCACGGCAAAGGCACTCCCCCCCTTTGTTGCTGGTAAAGCACAAGGGGTGAACTCCTACTCAGGGGACTCGCCTTTCGGCGAGTTGCTTTAAGTCCCGGGGACGCCCCCCCTGGGCACAACCACCATGGCGGACGACGACCCCGCCATGTTCGTCCTTTTCGTCCGGGAGTTTTGCCCGGACATCATGACTCAATTTAGGGCCCATAAAGCCAAATTAGCAGCTCAGTCCCGCGCACCGCTCGCCGCCGCCGCGAATATCCCAGACTCGCCGATGTCGCCCCCCACCCCCGCGCCCGCGTCGATAGCGTCCTGCGCGGCATCGAGCTCCGGCTCCGACTCCGAGTCGGANAAGAATTACAACTTGTTCATCACAATCATGAGTTAGAAATAGAAAAGTTAACCTCACAAATAAATTCATTGAAAACAGATTTGGACAGTGTCACTAAAAACTATGAATATGCTCAAAAAGACATATGTGAACATATATCGGTGATGGATAACCTGCTTGATTTATGTAATAATAATAAAGAGCGATTTGAATCTTTGACATTACAATATGCTAATTGTAAATTCCACTGCTCTATATCGGGTTCTCCAGTACCAGACTGTTCCGTTAGTCAAAATAAATTTTCTAGTTCTATCTGCCCGTTGTAAACAATATAATGAAACCTGCACTTCCTAAAAATATTAATAAAATATTCAGGGATGAACTAGGGAAAAATATGGGTGTAGCGCTGAATGATCTGTGTTTGGGACAATCTGTCATAAATTATTGTATGCCTGGGGCTTCATGTACCCACATAATTAATAAAATTTTATATGTGACTCATTGCCCTAACACAACAATAATTATAATGATTGAGAGAAGGGGAAATGCAGATATAAGAGATATAAAATATCAAATAAATCAATTATTAACACTACAGGTGAAAAAGATCATCATGTTTGCATTTCCATTTATTCAGAGTATGCCAGCAGAAAATAAAATAAGACATAGCATTAATGATTTCATGCAAACAGTTTCTAAAGTAAATAATTATTATGTCATGACACCATGCAAATCAGAAAATATATTCTATACTATTGACATTAATTGCATGATAAAAAATAAATGTATTATTATGACAAAACCTAACAAATACTATTTAGGTAGCTACAATTTTAGACAAGTAGCAAACTCGCTACATTATTTTTTACACATTTATCTAGCCATGAATTTGGCTAATCAACCTACTGCTTCTTTTGAGCAGGAAAAAAATATGACATTTATTAATTTGGAATCCGTTCCAAGTAATTTAAATTAAATCCTAAGACAACAGAGTTTACTTCTTGCAGTAAACATGATTTATTTGGACACAACCCATCAACAAATAATGTTTCTTTAAAAACAACTGTGATCAACCTGGTACATCAGAACTTACAAGGTTTGATGGGTAAAGAACTTGAAATTGATTTGTTCCTAGATTTTAATAAAGTCAATGTTCTATGTGTAACTGAACTTTGGCTTAAAAAATATGAATTAAATTGTAATTTTAAAAATCACCAGGTTGTGAGTTCCTTCTGCAGAGAGAATGCTATACGAGGTGGCTCACTGATCATTGTTAATAAAGATTATATTTGTAAGGAACGTAGAGACATTGTGAGCCTCTCTGTGGAACGGATTATTGAAATGGCCTGTGTAGAGCTTGAGCGATTCATTGTTGTAAGTGTGTACAGACCTCCTGATGCGTTATATGATTCTTTTGAAAATATTTTGGAAAATATATTGCTAAAGCTTTCTGTCTCTAATAAACAAATTTTTGTATGTGGTGATTTTAATATCAATCTTTTAGAAAACACAAATAAATACCACTATTAGATTCAGAACATTGTTAAAGTCATATAACCTCCCAAAATTATTTCTAGAGCCTACTAGGACAACGACCACATCGGCAACATGTTTAGGTAACATATTTACAAAGGTAACACCGATTAAAAAATTATTAATCAATTAACATCAGACCATAGTGGACAATTTGTGTCTTTTGAATCTATTATAAATTCTAAAGATAAAAATACTCTTGTGATTATTCCTATTAAAAAAAAAAAACGAATTGAGAAGTTTAGAAATAATATTAAGCAAGAACATTCAGAAACTATTTATAACAAAAACCCAAATTTGTCATACTAGCATATGTTTGAGAGAATTAATTTGGTCTTTACTGATGTATTTATTCCTAAATCTGTAACATTGAAAAACAAAACAGTGTTCAGCGAGTGGGCCACCACCGGAGTGTACAAAAGTAGAAAAAAATTATATGATCTGTACTCTGAAAAAGCATATAATAATGATGAAACATTTCATCAATATGTCAGGAACTATTCAAAACTATTTAGAAAAGTTTGTTTAGCGGCAAAATCTCTACATTTAAGTGATTTAATAAAAAATGCCCCTGACAAGATAAAGATGACTTGGAACATCATTGGTAGAGAAAGTGGAAAAGTCAGAAATAGCCATCAAGAATTCACATTAAAAATAGACGATAAATTGGTAACTAGTCATGAAGATGTGGCTAATGCTTTTGAAGTTTTTCTCTGACATTCCAGTTTCAACTACCACTTCTCTAAATTCATCCCCCACAGCAGCTGAAATATTATTGCATAACCATGTCAACAAATATAATGAAATTTTTAAATTTAAGAAAATTAATTTCTTAAATTTTTCAAAAACCTGCTTCATAATAAACAATTCGGGTTTACAAGGGGTCGCTCTACAACTGATGCAGGTGCTTATCTAATCAAAAATATCTTTCAATCTTGGGAGGAATCGCATGATTGTCTTGGAATTTTCTGTGACTTATCCAAAGCATTTGACTGTGTTGAACATGAAACATTGGTGAGGAAACTACATCACTATGGTATTAGGGATGGTGCATTGAAACTTATTACTTCCTATTTATCAGGAAGGATATAAACAGTAGATGTGAAAGGTAATAGATCTTCAGGCACCACGTTGAAAATGGGTGTACCTCAGGGTTCCATTTTGGGTCCTTTTTTATTTCTAATATATNATAAACAGTAGATGTGAAAGGTAATAGATCTTCAGGCACCACGTTGAAAATGGGTGTACCTCAGGGTTCCATTTTGGGTCCTTTTTTATTTCTAATATATATAAACGATTTGCCTAGTTTTATTGAGTCCCGACACGAGGTCGTATTATTCGCAGATGATACATCTTTATTATTTAAAATTAAACGACAATTACAAGTCTATGACGAAGTGAATGATGCGATTTCTGTAATTGTTAATTGTTTCTGAGGAATCATTGGAGCTTGTTGAGTCAACCGTATTTCTTGGTATAACAGTGGACTCCAAACTGCAGTGGGGACTTCATATTCATAAATTGGCGAGTAACCTCAGCTCTGCAGCATAAAAAAATTAGAATGTTAACAAATGCGGACACGGCTCGTTTAGTTTACTTTAGTTACTTCCACAGTGTCATGTCCTATGGCATTTTGCTATGGGGCAATGCGGCCGATGTAGAAATGATATTTATTCTGCAGAAAAGAGCTATACGTGCTATTTATAATATGCACTCATGGGAATCCCTGAGGGAAAAATTTAAAGATATTAAATTTCTCACTATGCCATCCCAGTATATCTTTGAAAATTTGATGTATTTTCGTAAACATATTGAGGAGTTTCCTAAAATGTCGGGACATACATAATAGAAATACTAGGAACGAACACAAGCTTGTTGTGCCGATAAGTAGGTTACATAAGATACGAAATTCATTCGGGTGTTTGTCTGTGCGCCTGTACAACAAAATCCCACAAGATGTTCAGAACCTACATATACATAAGTTTAAGAAAACTATTAAGAACATCTGTGCAATAAAGCTTACTATAAAGTCAATGATTATCTAGAAGATTGCACAAAGTGGGAATGAGTTGCTCGCTCCGGGCATTTCCATATTGTAAAATTGTTATATTATAATTACTTATTATAAAAATGAATATTTAAAAAAATCTAACATTAAAAAAAAAAAAAAAAAGACATGCCCGCTGAGTTTCTTGCCAATTCTTCTCAGGACGGAGGCTAATTCTTGTGAATTGGCGGTAGTTATTTTGACGTTCAACAAGTATGTACTTTCATTTATGTTGAATAAAACTTTTTTGATTTGATTTGATTTAATAGGGCTAAATAGGCGTAAACAAACCCCGGCCGGAACCCTCTTCTTCGATATCGCGAAGGATTTCGTCAAACTCTGGCACAACGGTTTGATTTACAAATTGTACAACATGGGAGTGCCAGACAGACTCGTGCTCATCATACGAGACTTCTTTTCGAATCGTTCGTATCGATATCAAGTAGAGGAAACTCGCTCTCGCCCCCGTCAGCTGACGGCGGGAGTGCTTTTTACTGTGCATGGTAAACGTGAGCCTGTCTGCCGAGGATGTTTAATGAAAACTTTAGATACAAGTGACAATTTTATAAAGACGAGTTTTATAAAGAAGAGATCATCCATAGGGGTACTTAAACTGACATGCGAGGGAAAGCAGTTCCTAAGCATAAGATAACAAACGAAAAGCGCCAATAACCGTCAATAAACAAAAGTATGTACTTGACTTTTATGTGATAAAAATTCAAACTACTAATGTGCTGAGCTTTGTAAGCTAAAGCGCAGTTGGGTTTAATAAATAAAGTTGAAAATATTTCAAAGGAATGTGTAGCTCAGGACATTAGTGAATACAAAGATTTCTTTCATGGTTTAGGAAAATTGAAAACAGACAACTGTCCACCTGTAGTGGAGCCACCAAGGCAAATTCTTTTTAAATAAGTGGATAAAATAAAAAATGAGCTTGATCGATTGGAGCAACTTGATGTAATTCAAGAACCAACTGAGTGGGTTAATTCTATGATGATTGTAAAAAAAAGTCTCATTCAAAAATCTCATTCATTTGAAACCCTAATTCTAAGGGACATACCCGAAACAGCCCTGGGATATAGTACGAGGGCTGCATTAAAAGTATCGGGAATTGAATATTTCCACTGTTCCTGTCATATTAAAATCTTTTTAATTGAAAACTCATTGGTTTTAAAATTCGAATATCATTTATTTATTTAAAAAAATATTCTCGGTCTTGTCACGAGGTTTTGTCAAACTTGTTTAGTCGTTGAGAAAATGGAATTGACTCGAGAAAATTCAAGAGCGATGATTTATTATGACTTTCGAAGTGGTTTAACACAAAAACAGTGTGTTGACCGGATGATTTCTGCATTTGGTGATGAAGCCCCATCCAAAACCACAATTTNACCATTTATTTATTTAAAAAAATATTCTCGGTCTTGTCACGAGGTTTTGTCAAACTTGTTTAGTCGTTGAGAAAATGGAATTGACTCGAGAAAATTCAAGAGCGATGATTTATTATGACTTTCGAAGTGGTTTAACACAAAAACAGTGTGTTGACCGGATGATTTCTGCATTTGGTGATGAAGCCCCATCCAAAACCACAATTTGTCGCTGGTTTGCTGAGTTTCAACGTGGACGTGTCAAGCTCAGTGATGATCCCCGTCAAGGTCGTCCAAAAACTGCAGTCGCCCAAGAAAACGTTGATGCTGTGCGTAAGCTGATTGAGGAAGATCGACATGTGACATACCGCGAAATTCAGGCAACTTTAGACATTGCCATGAGTCAAATACAAATAATCTTGCATGAACAATTAGGTGTAAAAAAGTTGCTTTCCCGATGGATACCGCATTCGCGAACATGGCAAATTCATGGCAAATTTGAAGAGCAAAAAGCGGCTCGCGTTACTTGGTAGTGGGGATAGGTTCCTTGGTTCTCGGAAATTCTCAGTTGCCATGGAGGGTTTTACCGGTGAGCAGCGTGCTTTTTGTGTGAGAGAGTATTACAAAAATGGCGATTCGGGCACTATTGCGCGGCGTTTATTTCGTTCTAAGTTTAATTTACATGATTTAAACCAATATCAGAGTGAAAGTGTGATCAGATCGTGGGTCAGAAAGTTTGAGTCTTCGGGTTCGACATTAAATGAAAAACCTGCGGGGCGTCCAAGGTCTACAAGAACGGAGGAGAATGTAAGCGAAGTTGCGGTGTCTGTACGGCGCGATCCCCAGCAGTCGTCCCGATAGAGATCAGCTGAGCTCGCGATATCAAGATCATCATTAAGGCGTATTTTGACCAAATATCTTAAATTACGCCCATATAAACTCCAATTAGTACAGGAATTGAAACCAAATGACCACCATTTACGTCGTGCATTTGCCAAAACAATGTTAGAGCGTTTTGAAAGTTTGAACAATATCCTCTTCTCGGATGAAGCTCATTTTCATTTAAGTGGATTTGTCAATAAGCAAAATTGTCGGTATTGGGCCGAAGAAAATCCCCAATTGAAACATCAAAGACCTTTGCAAAAGCCCAGATCTCACGCCACTGGATTTTTTTCTGTGGGGGTACCTCAAGAGTCGCGTTTACGCCAATAAACCGACGACAATTGCCCAACTCAAAGACAATATTCGCAAGGAAATGTCCGATATCCCACGAGCGATGTGCCAGCGAGTTTTCACGAATTTGAGGGCTAGATTGGAAGATACATGTAGATGGCACAAATCTCAGCGATTTTATTTTAAAAAAATAACATTCCCATTTGTAATCTTTATTATAATTATATATTTTTTTTCCTGAGCTTTGTAGTTTTTTTTATATGATTTTTTATAATCCGCTCATCTTTATGGCCCACCCTGTATTAAACTAACACACTGTAAAAGTAACAAATGTTATTTGCAATAGAATTTTTTTTTCCTTTGTAACAGTATTTATGGCCAGACTAAGTAGAAGAATTCGGGCTCGGTTTACGTTCAGTAGCGATGTTTTGAGTTTAATTTCGAGTGAGCTTGGGCGATATCGTACACCATAGGGCCTTATATTGACTGCTTCGGATTGGCACGAATAATCGCCACGAGACGGGCATCCGGCGTCTTATAAGATTTTCAAGAAATCTTGAAAGATTAATAAAACCGTTAACCCGGGTTGACGTCACTCGCCTTATCGACACGTGTGATGTGTTGCGTACCCAACAGCATCACTGATTTTGACAGCTCACGCACGTTTCGTGTTTTGTGTCACTGTCACACATCTTCAGTTTGGTTTATAATTTAACCATGAATCGTCTGACAAACAAACAACGCTTGCAAATCATTGAGTTTTATTACCAAAATGCGTGCCCTGTTAAGAAAGTTAATCGCGCGCTTCTTCCATTTTAGTCAGTTTAATCGACCCACTGAAGTAGCTATTCGGGCTATTATGACTGTTCGAAACCAATCTGTGGGTTTTTGAGTTTTTACCACGGCAACACTGGCCGCGATTTGAGGGTGCCCTCGCGGCTTACATCTGTCACTTCATCTTCTTCACGGACGGAGACATATACAGGCCTTTCGCATGCAATACAACATTGAAAAATTTAATTAAGCGGATGGCCCATTGAGGCGCAGCCGTGGTCACCATTTGCATTAAATAAGCATGAAATAATTTTCAAACATTAAATTTTAAGGAGCGTACCAACGATTAAAATAAAGATTTCCTATAGCTGTTAAAAAAATCACCCTTTATAAGCGGCAATTATGGCGGCAATTTTAATTTTATAGCGGCAATACGTTCAACTGATCTGTCCACGACAACAAAACTGGTGAAGCTGTATGCTATGTGTGGCATGAAGCGGTAGCAGCTTGGGGAGCTAACCAAATTGCTTCTTGTACAAGGTGTCCAGAAAGGGGTATTTGTTTTCGCTAGAAAATTTTAAATATTTTTTTTTTGTTTTGAAATTAACGCCCTCTAGCGTATACGTGGCGCAGTGTGAGGAAATATATAATTATGAATACAAGATGGTTCGAGGGTGAGATTGTCACAGCACTATAGGCGGAACATTCGAGAACCGTAAGACAATTAGTATAAAAGGACAAGTCACTTTGTCCGAAGCTTTTTCAATCAACATCTCTTGAGCTGCAGTGCAAGTTGTATTACAAGTAGTATTTGAGAGAATGAGGAATAAACGAGAAACACACGAATGAGGAATCAACGAGGAACACACGAATGAGGAATGAATGAGGAATATGCTGATATGTTAATTTGTTACGGATACTGAAATTCTGTGTCTGCACATGCTTGCAACATGACACGCTTTCCCGGCCTTCGAGTGCCGGATGTGAGCGGGTTCGACAGAGTTTATCGAAGACTTCGAGAAAGTCCGTTTCAAGACGTCGTACAGACCACGTGTGACTGATGACGAGGAAGAACAAACCAATGAGATAGTGGAACGATTTCGATTGGATCCAACCACTTCTACTAATATTGTTGCCCGTGATCTGCAATGGAAAGTATGGTTTACCGTTCCCACAGTGGGCCTATATCATATCATTATACGCTGGTACATGCTATCGAGCAGGGACGTGAGAAAATTGGATTTCTGCAGATTTATGTTAAATGCTGACATCGAAGACCCGACTTTCTTTAAAAAATCTTGTGGACAAATGAGTCGAAATTTGATAAAGATGGGATTACCTAATTTAACGCTTATTATTGGGTTCCAAAAGAATTGAAAAATCCGAACAAGAAGAGAGTAAAGAAAGTGTGGATGGGCATTATTTCCAATCATTGGTTTGGGTCTTCTTTTCTCCCAGACAATTTAAATGGGGAAAATAATACTATGATCATTTCCTGCGAGGAGACCTAAATGACCTATTAGATGATTTGCCACTCAATCTGATTCAAGAAATGTGGTTTCAGCTTGATGGCTGCCCTGCACATTTCAGAAGTGTCAGAGAATGGCTGAACATAAAGTGGACTGGATGAGGTGGGCCTATACCCTGGCCAGCCAGAAGTCCGGACCTAACCCCATGGATATATATGTGTGGGGACACATGAAGAGTCTCGTGAGAGAAGTGAGCCCAACCCAATTTCATCAATTGAAGTATTGAGAGACAGGTTAATGCGGCAAATGAAATAAGAAGGAAATGAACTACTGGTTAAACTGGTTAAAAACTGGACTTTGTAAAAGAATGCAAAGATGTGTGCAAAACAGGGGCGGACGTGTTGAACATGAAATTTAGACTTTAAGATGTTTTGTTGGAACTTGAAAGTTTAATAAATTTAGTATTTTGTACTCACTTATTGTTTTATTTAACCTCCTCTGTAGCCTATAAAACTAAGTGTTATCTACAAAATTTTGATAAAACCCTAGATTGTTATACTTCGTGTTGATCGTCTGAATCTCGGACGGACCACGATTTTTGCCGGTATGTTGAGCGTACGAATCTAGGACGCTCGTAGTCCCAATTTTGGACTTTTAACAGTTAGTTATAAAATTATTGTTTATTCTTTTCAACACATTTAAAACCGTACCCAATGAAACGACTTTCTCTCTCACACATTATTTACGACAAAATAACTGAAGGGGGCTGCTATGTGAATCAGTGTGAAATCCGAGCCCGGTGTGGTCGCACGTATTTGCTAATTTATTTAATAAAAATAACCGTTCAGTGTTTTTTTTTATTGTTTAATAATGGAATCGTAAGTATTAATTCATTATATTTTACTGACGTGGCGTAAATGTTATTTGCATTTTATGACAAAAACAGTCTTTGAAGCAACAGCCTCGTCATTTTTTTTAGTTGGTCGTTTTTAATAGAACAATTAATAAAATCCAAACGGTTTTTTGTAATGAGATCAATATTGTAATGAACTTAATTAAAAGTATTACAAAGGACGTGTATTTTAGTCGCAAATGTAAAAATTTCGAATTCAAATATGTGAACACACTCAAGCGTCCGAATTCCGGACTCGTCACAGATAGGGTTTTGCTTAACAAAAGGCCGCTGTTGACCAAATATAGATAAGGCGTTTGAATTTCATATTAATTTTTTGGTTTTTTTTTTACAGAAATTTGTATTTTTTATATTTTATACCAGTTCTTTCCGTGATTTTTACCATTTTATTTGGGACTTTTTTATGGTTTTGTACTTATTGTTAGATTAAAGTATTTTATTATTATTTAAGATTTAAACATATCATTAAAGTTTATCAACACTATTGAAACTTATGAAGAGCCTATTGTGTTTTATATCTATTAAAAAAAAAGGTGCGTCTGAGAAAACAGTTTCGAGTATAACACAAGAAGGAAAAGTAGCGGCTAGTAAAGGATTATCACACCATGAAAGAGTCGCCCACGTGCGAAAAAAATAGATTTGGATGGATTCGATTTATGTGCTTTTCGCAATAAATTCATCAGTTTTATACGGTAAAAAAAGAACTTCCTACTTTAAATTAAAAAGAAGACATGGGGTGTGAAGGAAGCCGTGCCACGCTACATAGAATACTGCAAAGTATTGGTTTTAAAAATAAAAACGATGCCAGTCAAAAAGGAAGTTATTAATGGAACGGTACGATATAACTGCTTGGCGCGCTTTTTTTTTTTCACAGGAGAAAATCGCCGGATCCCCACCCGCACGGCAGGTGGGGTATGTGGGAGTCGAACCTCACTAAAAACTCCTGCCGCTCACAGCCGGCGCCCTACCCCGGACCGGGTGGGGCGCTACATACATAGAAAAAATGAGACAAAATCGAACCGTAGAAAAAAGACCCATGGTGTGCTTGGATGAAACCTATACCCATAATACATATCATGCCTAAAGTTCCTGGAGAGCCAGGGCTATTCATTTCTGAGTCTGTCGGGAGTAAGTGAATAATTGCTCATACTGGATCTGAAAATGGTTTTGTTGTGAATGCTCTATTAATTTTTAAATCCCAGTCAGTCATCAGATTATCATGATATGAACTCCGGTATTTTCTGAAGTGGATGACTGAAAAGGTAATCCCAAATTTGCCAGAAAAGTCACTTGTGGTTATAGACAATGCTCCATACCACTGCACACAGCTAAACAAAGCGCCAACAATGTTCACTTTCCTGGTATCATAAAGATAACAGGAAATACTTAGAATAAGCACCTTTGTAAAGAATAGTATATAAGATTCTTATGATGCAATAAAGTCAGTCTTAATCCGCTCTTCAAGCTGAATACTTGTCTTTTTAAAAAGCCTTTCGTCTCCGTCCACAAGCTAACTGGACTCGAAAAATTTTTTAAATTGACGGAAGAAGCGTTTACTAGCGTGACTTCAGAAGATTGGTTTGTTCAGTGCAAACATGTGGAGCATTTCGAGGATGTATATTTTAAGAATGAAGGGCTGATGGATGAAGAAATGGACCGGATTATTATATCAATAGTAACTGATAGTGAAACAAGAGTCGGATGACCAAAGTAATATGGATGACTATGATTCACGCAGTGACTGTTGTATGTCTGAAATAAACCCGATAGGTGACCATAATTATGTTGTTAAAATATAATTAAAATTAAATTTTATTTACTGTATTTTCTTTCTTTTATGTATACATAAAATAGCGAATTGTTCAATTTTATTTACTACTTGCCACTAGCACTCTGTCCTCTAACTAGGGGATTTTTGGGAATTCAATAGTAAACGCTGGCAACATTTCGTCGCATAACAGCAGCGCCGCGTCTGCGAGACTTCTTTCGTGAAATGAACTCTAATAGTAAGTTGATGTTCACATCTTGCTGTGCGACAGTGGTTTTATAGTGTACGGATACTCGCAACAGAGAGATGTTTATATTAATTAATAAACGGATTTATTTGCTTCCACTGCGCATAACTGACTAATTGTATATTAAGTTGGACAGCTGTGCTGGCTCAGTTCATGACCTAGCACGCAGCTACTACAGTGGTCAGCTGCTTTCATACTATTACTCTACAGATGTATATTAATTCTGCATATCATAACGGTAGATTCCCACACCTACTTGAGTATAGTTGTGTATAACAATTTGAATAATGACAATTTAATTTCATAATTTTTGTTAATTGTGTATGATTGTAGCTCGCTTATTACTTATATTTTAGTATAATTGGGTTTAGCGAGCTGCATCTCATTTTATTATTATGTCTAGGAACGTTATTAGGAACATTCGAACGTTGCCTAGAAATATCGAAAAAAAATGCAATAGCAAACAACGGGTCAACTAGCTGTGAATGATTCCATTTCGCTCGGTTTGATGATTGTTATCTCAGTACCACAAGAGTTTTCTACACACAAAGAGTTTTCTTTCACAATTTGCATCGGTTGATCCGTTCTTTCCATATCTTTATCTCGTCTCATACGAAAAATCTAGAAATCTGAGCAGTACGCATTGTCGCCTCAGAGAGGAAGTAGGCCGTCCCGATATAAATATATAAAAACGAATTCGCGCAGGAGGAGAAGAATCTCGACGCCAGAGAGTTCGCACGACAACTATATGTGATTCAGATTCGTGATTATTTGTTCTCCTTTTTGGAAAGTAGTAAAATCAGTGCTATACTAAAATAAAAAGAAAATTAAAAACGGATTTTATCATTTTAGAACCCCCTTGGTGAATTTGATATAATTGATTCCAATAGGTTTGTTTGCTGTTAACAAATTTTTCGTGTCTGGATTAATTCGATTACTATTCAACAATTTTCTTTAACCTTTTCATAGTGTAAAAAATTGCTATAGCTATACTTAGTCTGGCCATAAATACTGTTAAAATTAAAAATAAACAAAATATTACATTTGAATTTGGAATCTGTCATTTTTTGCTCATTGAGTTTTCTCATTTTGGCGCCAATACATTGTACAATATTTTGCGATATTAAAATGGAGTGGAGTGATAAAGAGAACCGAATCGCTGTGATTGCATTACACAAAGTAGGTATGGAGCCAAATGCAATTTTTAAAACTCTTCATATGCTTGGTATTAGTAAAATGTTTGTGTACCGGGCTATTAATAGGTGCAATGAAACCTCCTCTGTTCGTGACAGAAAAAGATCTGGCCGTCCACGTAGTGTTCGTACGAAAAAGGTGGTCAAAGCAGTAAGGGAAAGAATTCGAAGAAATCCTGTCCGAAAGCAAAAGATTTTATCTCGGGAGATAAAGATAGCACCTAGAACCATGTCGCGTATTTTAAAAGATGACTTAGGACTTGCAGCCTATAAGAGACGTACTGGTCATTTCTTAACTGATAATTTAAAAGAGAATAGGGTGGTAAAATCGAAACAACTACTGAAGCGGTACGCAAAGAAGGAGGTCATAGAAAAATTTTGTTTACGGATGAGAACATTTTTACAATTGTGTTGCTCAATTTAACATTTAATGTTTTAACAAACAAAATGACCGTATTTATGCTCAAAGCTAGCTCTAAGGAAGCTTCCTAATTAGTCGACAGAGTGCAACGTGAGCACTATCCGACTTCAGTGATGGTTTGGTGGGGTATTAACTATTAAAACATAAGCACAAGTGTAACAAGATACCATTCTTGAAAAGGTAGTGAAGCCCCTAACAACACCATGTTCAATAATCAAGAATGGTCCTTCCAGCAAGACTCGGCGCCAGGTCATAAGCTTGGTCTACGCAGTCTTGGTTGGAAACGAAAACGTTTCGGACTTCATCAGAGCTGAAGACTGGCCGTCGTCTAGTCCCGATCTTAATCCGCTGGATTATGATTTATGGTCAGTTTTAGAGAGTACGGCTTGCTCTAAACGCCATAATTTGGAGTCGCCGAATACAACTTCAAAATTGCAACCATTGGATCAAGGGATTATCCATAATTTTAAGACGTTCTATCGCAAAGAAATTGTTAAGATCGTTTTCGAATCTCTTGACAAGCAGCTAACTGCGAATATCACGGTTCTGACAGCTATTTTACTGATTGACAAGGCATGGGGAGCTGTAACACCCATAACGATTCTCAACTGCTTCAAAAAATCTGGTTTTTTAAAAGAAAATTTTTCAATACTTATGGATTATGAAGAATCAGCAGTAGAACCATTAGTAGACATCAGCGGTGTGAGTTTTTCTGACTTTGTTCAAGTGGATGACGATGTTGCTGTCTCATGTGAACTGACCGATGGCGAAATTTTATCTGCGACAGATACGAATGAAAAAAGCAACGATGAAGACGAGGACGATACATCAGAACCTTTAACAGAGATGTCAGTTAAGGAAGCATGATCCTCATTCGATACCTTACTACGCTTCTGTCTACAAAACGAAAGTGATGAAAAAGCATTTCAGGCACTTTTTCTCTTAAAAAAAGTTATTGAGCAGTCTGAGCAGCAGCAATGTGTTTTGAAGCAAACCAGTATAACAGTTCTTTCGAAATATTAATTAATTTACATTATGAATAGGTTTATGTATATATACGAATGTAGGTATGTATGTATACTCCAAACTTTTTTCATTGTTATAGAATAGCAGTTAATAAATAATTATTGATCAATACTTAGTAATTCGAAGTTTTATTTATTTTCTCTCACAAATTTCGAACCATTTGATATTTCAAACATTAATATTTTAAGAGTCCCTCAAGTTTTGAATTAACGAGAGTCGACTGTATATATATTGTAACTAAATCTATTTTATTTTTGGATCCAGTACAAGCATATAACACGAGAAGAAATAAGACAAACGCAGTTAACGTAAGCAAGTATGACGAAAATGTTGAGAAAATACAGCCGTGTCTAAAAGAAAAAATCAAAATACAAAAAAATGTCTTAGGTAAAGTATCACGTTGTAAAGATATAAATTAAATTGTCTTTTTAAAAAAATATCAATGTTAATTAAATTCATATTTTTTAGAAACAATTTGCAGAAAAAGGAACGGCAATATGCGTAGCTTACCAGCAATATAGTTCACGCTAGCGCCGAGCATCGACGTAAAAATAGTACCATAAGTAGTGCCGTTTTTGATAAAGATATCAATCACGTAGTTACCGAAAAGAGTTAGTTATATTATTGATACTACAAATAGTCCTGAATATTATGTAAACACCGAAGATCAAAAAACATCTTTCAATGTGCCGGAAAGTGATGACGATGCTGACTTTTGTGATTCAAGCGATAACCTTTATGTACCAGAAACCACTGACGAATCTGATAATGACTTAGATATTTGTGATGAGACCTCAGCTACCAGCAACTCTAAGCAGAACCATGAAGTGAGTAAAAAATTACATAAAAACACAGATTTTTCTAAATTATTAGAGCGACTTGGGGAAAAATAGGCCTCTGGCACTCTCGCTCACTAAAACCAAATACAACACATAATATTGTTATTTCACGCCGATATTCTGTGAGGAGGTGGTACTACCCGAATCAAACGAGTTGTTTTTGTCACAACGGATGGTTTCCGAAAGTAATAAGTACAGTATTGTCTAATAAAATTGTAGTGTTAACGCGATTGTATTAGCTTGGCTTTTGTATGTATGTAACGGAATCTTTAGACTCGGTTTTTAAGAACTGCAAAACGTCGGATTAATTTGTAATTTGTATATTTATCAAGGACCCAGAAAATTTTATAAATTTGTACTATTATAAAAATAAGCAATAAAAACTAAAAAGTTAAAGTACGCGTTGCGAACCCTCAGTTGCCTTAACCTTTAATCCAGACATGAATAACTGAGCACACACATACGACCGATACGTGAAATATAATAGAATAAAAACTATTATCCATTGATTAATATATTTTTTTCTTTTAGGTTTCATTTGAAATTCACGATGAAGCTACCAAAAACAAACAAACTGAAGGTCTTCTACCGAAGAAAAGGTAGGGGATGAAAAGAAGAGGATATGACAAAGGGATTGTTGTTTTTACTGTGAAAATTTAATTTTAATTTCGCTAGACACGTTATAAGAAATCATTCTAATGAACTGGAAGTTCAAAAGATGTTATCGATACCAAAAAATAGTAAGTCTCGTAAACAAATGCTTACCCTCTTGCTTAAGAAAGGAAATTACATTACTAACACTGAAAACTCTACGTTTAAGACAATGAAAAAAAATATATATAACAGAAATGACGACTATTTACCTTGTACTAAATGCTTAGGATTTTACTCTCGAAAACAACTATGGAAGCACAAAAAACTATGTGACAGTAATAATCTCACATCAAATGTTCAAGTTGATGCACAGAATTTTTTGCTTCGTAACATTAAAGTAAACCAAAAATTAAAAGATGATGTTTTTCCACGTATAAGGCCGGATAAAATATCTATGTTTGCGAAAAAAGATTCTTTGAGATTCCAATATCTTAGGACACATAGAGAAACTATTTTATAAAGTTAACCTCTAGAAAAATGCGTGAGCTTGGTAAACTATTAAAAGAATTTAAAAAAAATAAACCAAACATTAGTAGCTTATTAGAGGCCTTGAAGCCGGAAAATTATGGAACACTAGTTTTAGTTACTAAAAATGCAACTAGTTTCAATAATTTTAAAGATCGTTACGATTCACCTACTTATGCCATGAATATTGCAATATCGCTAAAACAATGTTGCAATATAGCATTACTTGAGTTTTACAAAGCGGAAGCTGGTATTAATAGAACAAAAATTCAAATAGATCTTAACAATCTAATTGGAAATTTGACGTCTCAAGCCAAGCTGCTGACGACTTAAATATGAAACGGTATAATAAAACAACAATTGTCCCATTAGCATCTGATTTAAAAAGTTGAAAAGACTATCTAAATAAAACTGCTGCACACGCAGTAGTCAAGCTATCGAAATCAAATAATTCATTAAATTGCAATGCATTCAATCTATATTTCTATACTAATCTATACTTAATATTATAAAGAGAAAAGATTTGTTTGTTTGTTTGTTTCGAATAGGCTCCGAAACTACTGGACCGATTTGAAAAATTCTTTTTCCATTAGAAGCCGACATTGTCCCTGATGAATATAGGCTACTTTTTTAAAAAAAAAAATATTTTATTTTTTTGGTTTCATATGTGTTTTAATGTTTCCGAAGCGAAGCGAGGGCGGGTCGCTATAAATTAATAAAGTCCGTGTTCTGCCGCCTTTTGTAACTAATCCGACGGTGTCTCGGAGAACTTCAGAGATTCCAATTGAGTGTTTACGAAAACTATGATAAAAAAGATAACGAAAACAATAAATATGAAGAATTTGACAAAGTACTATCAGCAACGGAAAAAATATTAGTAAACAATTTAAAACGAATTGTTATTCGAGGGAAAAGAGGGAGAGGGGTTCCAGTTTTATTTAACAAAGATGTTCAAAAAGATATAGATACCTTAATTTATTTAAGACATAAATATGTAAACACATATAATGATTTTTTATTCTCTGAAGCTGGGGGATCAGTTATGTGTTTATAAGACCATAGAAAAATATGCAAAAGCTTGTGGTGCAAAAAATCCAAAAGCTTTAACTTCGACTCGACTTCGCAAACATTTAGCGACTTTAACCCAGCTTTTTAATATGTCCGAAAACGACATGGAACAATTGGCTTCATTTATGAGCAATACGATGTCAATTCATAAACAAAATTATAGATTACCGGATTATGGGTTCCAAACCGCTAAAATTTCTAAGCTGTTACTTTTAATGGAAACTGGAAACGCGGATATGTATAAAGTTCATACTTTAGATGTGATATCAATTTAGAAGAAGAAAACAATACAATAAATATCAATTTAGAAGAAGAAATAATTAGTGACGATATTCAAAATGAGGAAATTCTCGATTTCGAAATGTTAGAACCCACTCTTCCTATAAGCAAAGCTTAAGATATATTTTTATTTACTTTTTTTGTTTGTCTTATTGCATAGATAGGTGGACGAGCTCACGGCCCACCTGATGTTAAGTGGTTACTGGAGCCCAGATACATCTACAACTTTTTACACAAGCTCATTTGATATATTTATTTTAATGCCAATACGCATTTCAGACTTGTCTCAATACCAATTCAGGAGTTGCCTGCCACCCGGCCAACCTCTAGAAACGCCACAGCACCTTAAGAGGGTAAGGGTGCTCGCTTCTGTGGTAACGAAACACCCAAGGTGTGTATTCTGGTACTTTTAAATATATTTAGGTTTTTCAACAGCAAAACAGTATCTCTAGCTTTGTTTTCCAATCAGAAATGTGGAGAACGGACGTTCTGTCCCCGACCAGGAGGGACCAGGCTTCCGGTGCCATCATCATCTGCCCTGTAACTATATTATTTAATAATATAACCTACTTTATAAATAAAACTAAATTTTTCAGCCATTAAATTTATATTCAATAATTATTGCTTAGTCAAAGAAAAAGAAGTTGCGAAATCAAAGAAAAACTAGAATTTTGAGATAGATGCGCCTTACTTGATTTTTTTATTTTATTTTGTTCTCATTCATTTCTTAAATCAATTTTTTTATAGACACTTATTATAGCAGTAGCAGGGCAAGCACCTCGGCCACCGGGCGGCCTGTGTTAAGTATTTATGAAACATATTTTTATACGTTATTTTATTTTTCAGAAGTCCGGACCGCACTCCAACAGCTCGTCGACAACTGTATTTTCATCTCTGTACACTACCAATATATAATATAACCATATAAAATAATTACTAGCATGTTTGCCAAAAAATGTACTGGAACATGTGGACATTTTATTTTATCATATACGTTAGTTTCTTTAATAAATATATAATATTACATTCAGCAAGCGTTTTAATTTTTTTTTATTCGATAATAAAAGTTGAATCTGAGTACCCCATATTATTTACAATAGAACTCTCAAGTGTACTTTAAGAAATTACATGAAGAAATATATCTTCTTGTTAAATCTAATTGGAATTATACAAAATTCCAATTAGATTTAGAGAAAATAAGATTTTTCTAGACCTAGGTCTCATTCTCGCCCGGTCTGTTGATTGTCCAAATTTTGGATCCGCAGATGGGGTCAAATGTCATGTCAACAGGCGAAACTGCAACTGCTCATTCTCGATCCTGCGGACAGAATGGAAAGCAGTCGACGTCGCCCCAAACACGTCATTTCGGATCCTCCCGATCCACTAACGGTGCTTTTAGGTACCTCAAGCACCGGTCACCGTTCTCGTCGAACCCGTCGCTTGCGACGAAGGGCTCGACGAGTAAATGAACCCTCAGACACAGCCCACTGAGTTTCTCGCCGGATCTTCTAAGTGGGTCGCGTTTCCGATCCGGTGGTAGATTCTGCGAAGCACGGCTCTTGCAAAGGTTCGTGTTAGCAACGTCAGAAATATACACTCGGCGTCACAAAAATCGCACCTTTATGTTTTTTCCAGTAAATCGCTCCTAGAATCTAGCACATAAATACCAGGTGTGTTTTTTTTTTTTTTTTTTATTGCCCTTGTAGGCAGACGAGCATACGGCCCACCTGATGGTGAGTGGTTACCGTCGCCCATGGACTTCAGCAATGCCAGGGGCAGAGCCAAGCCGCTGCCTACCGTTTAATACTCTCCACAAGCCTCGTTTGAAGAAGGACATGTCATAGCGCTCGGGAAACACCGTGGAGGGGAGCTCATTCCATAGCCGGATGGTACGAGGCAAAAAAGATCTCTGGAAACGCACTGTGGATGACCGCAGTGGCTCCAGGTAGTATGGATAGTATGGAGTGAAAAAAATATATCATTGTAAAGTGCACTTCAATATCTTTACATTAATTACCTGTATCATTAAAAAACCAATTACTATTTCTAACCGGGACCAATCAATAAGATGTTGGAATAAATGCTCACTTAAGTAGCACTAGTTTAGCTACCCTAAAAGGTTATAAAAGGTCATGCCCAGGTAAAAAATGAGTCAGTCACTACTAAGCCCTTAGAACCTGAACACACCGGAACAACATACTCAAAAGAACAATACCTGAAGATGGATACAACCCCTGAAGAAGCCGACAAGGACTGCGAAAGGTTGACGTTATTCGACAGTTGAACCTTAGCCGATTCTCAGTTCGACGAGTATACCAACGGTTCCGTGAGACTGGTGGCTATACCCGAAAAAGTGGATCCGGAAGAAAACGTTGCACATCAGAAAGAGACGACCGCTTCAGCAATACCTGGGCACAGTAAAATTGAAGCAGATAACACTATGCACGCAACTATTGAACTGGCTAAGAATATATTTCATCCATCTGGATTCTAATAAATCTGGATAATAAGTTCTAAGGTCTCAATATAGTTACAACGGCTGCTCCACCCTTCAAACCGAAACGCATTACTGCTTCACGGCCGAAATAGGCAGAGTGGTGGCACCTACCAGTGCGGACTCACAAGAGGTCCTACCACCAGTAAAAGCTGCTGGTTACAACAAGCAACAGAAGAAACCTTCGCGACACAACCTAAATTGTAGTTATCTGATTGGACAACAGGATATCAATGGGTCAAAACTGATACTAACATTACAGTTGCACAATCAACACCAGCAAACAAAACATATTTAATTTCAGACAAAGACTAACTCAAAAATAATCAGGTGAGAAAACAATTCAAGCATTTTAATGGATATAAAAAAGTGCTTTTTTCATTTTGGAAGGTAACACTACCAAATCCAAATCAGACCGACTGGATTACTGGTTGCTGTGATTGTCCAGACTTTTATCGCAAGTACATCTGGAAGCATGAACCATTCAGGCTTTGCAATCAGACTGAAATTCGTAACACCACCATTAGAGGCAAAGGCACAACCGCTTGGACTTAAAAGAAAGCGTGGAAGGCCAACTAAAAAGCATGAGCAGCATTAATAATCTAATAATAATTTTTTCCCTTTTAATTGTGTAACTATACCTTTTAAGTGTATTAATATATATTTCTTCTAATTATTAACCTACTAAAAATTATAGCAATTCAATATACAAGTTGATTTTTAAATGATATAAATTATTTTATTTTGTCTGCCCTCAATAGTTCCTAAGTAATACTCGTATTAGTGGCTTTAATATTCTATTTAACGGCAGTTTTAGGTAAATTTAAGGATCAGTTAATGTAAGATGAGTTACATTTTAAACATTCCGAGTTATAAAATTAGAAGCTAACAGAATTGTAATATTAGTGCCGTATATTAACATTTTAGATGTTTTTTGCTTGAGTGCTTTTAACAAATTTAGATGCTAAATAATAACCACCATGCTGAGTATGTTTAGAGTGGCTTATATAGAAGATAAATATTGGCTAAAATAATATTATTAAGATGCGAGTCTATGTGGCTGACTTAGTAATTTAGAAGGAAACTTAAATTTTTAGAGGCAAATATTGCCATTAAAAGGAAGTCTGTTTAATTACTACCCATATAGTTATATTAACTTAATGAAAATAATAACACCCAGCTACAAATCAAGATAAAAGTACAGAGTGTTACTTTTGTACCTAAACTAAAAGATAATCTTATTAGTGGAAATTATTATCACATAAATGATTTTCTTAGGGACAACATTGAAAATAAATGAAATTTTTAATTATTAGTTGAATTATTGATGAATGATTGGTAAATAATATATTATAATATCTTGCACTGCACTAAAATTCGCATGTCAAATAATGACAAAGCATACACGCTGCTTTTAACTTAGGTAGTAACTCATTTTCATGATGCTTGGCGAATAAATTATTTCTTTGTTTCTCTCTTACTTACCTGTCTCCCCTACCTTAATAGCTCCTTAGTCAATGTATTTATAGTCAATATGTTTTATATTATTTATAGTCAATTAAATACATGTCACTTATCATGCATTTTTATACATAATTAATATTAATTTTCATTTTACTGCGCTATATTATATCACGCCTCTCTTCAAAAAATTTTAAAAGTACTATTTTAATTATTTACCAATCTTTTACCTCACCCACAAAACTTTAGCTAATTAAGTAAAAACCTTGACCTCTGGCCACTTTGCATACTAAATTTAGAAAATAAAAGTATGAGACTAAAATGTTCCATATTATTCATTCATAATAAGAGCGAGTCTATCTACTAAATGGTTAAAATTTCTTTCCATATTAATATAAATGTGTTTTGTTTAGCAGCCATTTCACCATTCATATTAAGGTATGGTATGATACATGAAATGTCAGTTGGTTTTAACTTAAAGTTTTTAAAACATCATGACTTGCCTTTCAATTCAGAATGCAGTATTACATGAACTTTAAGGCTTTAAAAATTCACTCTATGCTTATCAGAATGAAAAACAGAAATTTGGGTGTTCTCTCTCCTGATGACATTATGCTATGGTGCATCTCAAAGCTACCAGACTAAATATCGGGAAGTTGTGCTCTTAATCAACCATTAGTTAACTCAAAGACTCATTGCAATACTTTCATAATAAGTTGTTTTGGATTTCAGTGTAAATGACTACATAATAAGCAATAATTACCAAATGCACTGGTTAATTAATGCTAGTTAGCCAAGTATTCAAATATATGTAACAGAATATTTTCAGTTTTTAATAATTTTGATTTGATTTAATTGGTGTTTATTATTACTCATCACAATGTCTACTATTATTTCAATGGGGATTTGAAGAGGGACAAACGGCATTTTTCGATTGTTTTAATATTATTTCCTTGGTTTGTACTATAAAAAAGATTTGCAAGTTATATACAAATCACAATAAACACATTTTCTATTGTACAAGAGCTACGGACCAACAGTTAAGTCGAAAAAGCGGCAACCAAATTTTCGAAGAAAAACCCAACCAAGACTATTCTAGAAACTGGAAAAATCTAGTACACATATGAACGTCGTAGTATCAGTAATAATTCAAATTATGACAAACTATAAATCCATTTTGATCTACCAACGACCATTTTAAAAATCAATACTCATGGCATTATTGGCTAATACCATTAAAAACGAAAGAACGACACCACTTATCAAGGAATCAACAGTTCATACACACGAAAACCAAAGAACTTACAAGATTTCAGACCAACTAATTCGGAAAACAAACAAAAAAATAAAAATTTCTATTGAGTGAGATTGAGAATGGCGGAGTGTCATTTTGTAAATTATAATTAATGTGTCCTTTTTTTTAGGGGTTTTATGACCTGGTAACTGAGACCTTTAAGTCATGTCTTATTTTAATGTATATTCATATTTTTATGAAAAATGATATTATGGAGTGAAATGAAATGAAGATAATTAATTTGAGACATTAATCAACTGGGATGAAATAAATGTGATGATATGAGATGAAATCTAATCTCAGTAAAATGGTGGTCATTTACCAAGATTTTTTCAGTGGACTTTTTGGAGGATCCCGAGAAGTTACGTCCAGCGGCTTTGTTGCATTTTCTCAGATTTGTGCACTTTCACAGATATTAAACAGTTAATAAACCACCATTATTACACATTTAAACCTGAAGACACACTAAATAGACAAAATAAAACAAATCACACAACTTCACTCCTCGCGTTCCCGCCAAAAGGTCCAATTAATGTGTCACTTACTCAGTGCTGCCAGATGACCGTGTGAAATTGCCTCCAACTTTTTACGAAAACCCCCGAAAATAAGCTTTTGGAAGAAAAAAAATATGGGGTGTGGCTGTGTTATGGACACGGCCGTTTGTTGTACGTGAATACGTTTCGTAACTGGTAATAAATCTTGTGAATTGGCGTTAGTTTTTTGGACGTTCAACAAGTATGTACTTTCATTTATGTTGAATAATTTTTTTTTGATTTGATTTGATTTGATAAATAGTTTCTATATAAAATATTATTATTTATGTATGTCATAATCATAAGAAGTCCTCCGGGTATACATGTTTTGTTTATGATGGCAACTTTTTCATTTAATGGGTTCAGGAAATAAATCAACTAAACATATAATTACTGTATTATAACTTTATTTATTATAGGTCTGTGTCATAAGCCCGATGTCGATACAGAAGCGATTTCATCATCCATCTGCGTAATTTCAACCGTCCCAGCTGCAGATGTACTGGCACCGTCGTTGATCCGCTCGGCCGCACTCATTACTTTACGTTGCCGGCACTGCTTGACTCGATCTTAAAGTGTTTTATTGGTACTGTGCCGGCTCATGTCAACGTC